TTTTAGTCTCAAATATTTATGTACCCGAATATCTGAAGATTTGTGACATTCATCTTAATGATTCGGGTTTACTAATGATTAATTTACATGCTGGTTTGCGTTTTGTTTATAGACCATTTCTCATCGTTAATATTCAGCAATTTTTGTCTAGTTTAAGAGCGGCTGCTAATGCTAATAATAATTTAAAAAATAATTTTAGTTTAGAAGAATTTAAATATTTAACTTCAATTTCTAAAGAAAATTTTCAAGAATATATGAATTTTGTAAACCCCTAGAACAATATGGTAACTTAAGAAGCATTGCTCAAAAAGATTTACTTACTTTCCTTGTTAAACTAAGACATGGATTGTCAGATGAGTTCATAAAATTACTTTTTAATTATTCATCCCGACAAGTCACTAGTATAGTCATATCTAATGTCCGTATGTCCCTGCTTCAAAGATTTGTACCTAGTAATATTGGATTTAGATCAATAACCAGAGAAAACTATATCATAAATCATGTCCCTGAATTCGTAAACGCGCTTTACAACCCTATAGCAAATATTCCAAAGGCCATATTTTATGTCATATAACTCAATTGAAAAAAGTAGTAATTTTAGAATATTACGTCAGTCCTATTGCTATTTTAAGAAGGAACATTTAGTTAAGCCAGAAATTACAGTAGCTCCTGACGGATATATTTGATCAATCAATGGTCCCTATTTTTCTGATGCATCTAATAATGATGCAGCAATCTTACGGCAACAATTGGTTAATGATAATAATGAATTTAGAAACTGGATTACAGAAGGAGATATAGTAATAGTAGATAGAGGCTACAGAGATGTTATTCCTAGATTAGAAGAACTTGGGTTAATTACTTATATACCACCTTTGCTTCATCAAAACCAACAGCAATTGTCAACAAATGAAGCTAATAGAGCGAGACTAATAACTAAAACTCGTTGGGTTGTAGAAGCCAGAAATGGACATTTCAAATCCATTTTTAAATTTTTTAAAGGCCGCATATCCACGCATCATGCAGTTAATTTGAGTGGTTTTTATCACATTGCAGGTGCGTTGTTAAATAAGTTTCATCCTCTTATAAACCTACCAGGTACAATGGACATAGCATTTGAAATTTTAAACAAACTAGATGACGTTAATATTATACAAGCACGCGTCGAATCCCAAAATCTGACTACCAGAAATGGTCGGTGGCGAAGATTGAACCACATGCATATTCCTGAATTTCCTCGCGCAGAGATCCATTTCCTAAAAGACTTAGGTTCTTACCATATCTATTTAAGTCCATCATATATTTAAGATAAACTGCAAAGAGAGGAAAATAATGTTTTAGAAATAGACGAGTTTAGAGAAGAGAATAATTTTTTACGTTTTAGAATTTATTCTAGGTTCAGAAACGCAACTAAATATATGCTGTGGTTTTCATACGAAGAGGAACTTAATGAAAATATTGATCTAATTTTCTACTATTATTGTACATGTCCATGCGGTTCGAGAACTTTAAGTACTTGCGCACATGTTGCATCAGTGTTATGGTTTCTTGGTTATGCAAGGCACCAGAATAATATAAGATTTCCAACAACACGTTTACTAAATAGCTTCGATGATGCAGCAGACCGATTATTTCCAGAAAATATCGATCTCGGTCCCATAGTAGAAGAAACTTAATTGGTATTACCATCTCGTATTTTCACCTAATACTTAACGTTTACGTCTTGGTTCAGTTACGTCAGTCATTTAATCGTTTATCTTTAGTTCAGGCTGTTCCTTTAATTTAATATTTGACTTTTGTTTTCTTATATACCTTACAAAGTATCTGAATGTATATCTTTAGTGTTTGTAATAAATTCAGTTGTCCTTTGTAATTGCTATTATTGTTATATTTTTCCAAGTTATGAGAACATTAATAACAATGCCAAAAAAGAGAAAAGAGAATTGGGTGTTGTAAAAATTCTACGTACATACGTGCTAAACTTGATGCCAAAAAAGACTTGCCAAAAATGTAATGATCTCTTTATATAAATAAGTAAGCTATACCTATTAATAAGATGAATGGAGAAATGGGTGGTTGGGTGGAACTCGAAGTGCGGCCACCTCGTCGTGGTGAGTTCTGGGTTGATTTAACATTCAAAACTGGTTTTATTATCTTGTAGCTGCCCTAAACCCCTTGAGTTTTAAATCAAGCGAAGAGCTGCACAAAGCTGAATTTTTTTAGTTTTTTTAATTTCTGACCCCTAAGGTCCCAGCTAAATATTTTATTTTTTCACTAATTTTTATATAGGGTGTAAACCACATAAAACACAATTTTTTCACACTAGCCTAAATTAATGTTTTTTTGGTAATTTTTGACCTGCCCTATTATACAAACAGTGCACTATTCCTACATGTGCTAACACTTTACGCGGAAAGGAGATCCTAATCTGATATAAATATACAATATAAAGAGGCAATGCTCCAGTCAAAATAAACATTTAATCCGATCATTATTCATTTCCCTAGATCCTACTTATACCTTTTTTTTCACTCTCCTGGGCTCGTCTGACTATGTGTCTCCGAATAAGACTGAAGCCTATTGACTTATTGTGTTTTACCCCATGTTAGTTCATAGCACCCACTCTATCACCTTTGTACCTTGTACAAGTTTGTACAGATCCTTGGGTGAGTGGGTTCTATACGTTGTTGGATCAACCTGGGGTTGTCCAAAAAGAGCCTGTCTTTTGCGATCTAGAGCTTCGCATTCGCACAGTATGTGTTTGGCCGTTTCTGGTTTCTTGTGACATAGTCGGCACATGAGTTCCCCATTGTACATGCCAATTTTGTTCAAGTGTCCCTTTACTGGGGCGTGCCCAGTCATGAACCCTGTTATCACTTTCAACTGGTTCCTATTCATTAAGAGTAGTTCTCCAGTTCTTTTGGGACATGGTCTGCCTTGAAGGCTTTTCCATGTGCCTGTTTTGGGGTGCTTCCCCAATAGTTAATATGTTGTTCCCGAATCCAGTCATTTATAAAACCCCGGACTGTACTTTTTGGTACTCCTGGGTTTGTGTCTGGTTCCGGTGTTTCTTCTGACCCTCTTTTTGCAAGTTCGTCAGCCTTTTCGTTGCCTTCGATCCCTTTGTGACCTGGCACCCAAAATAGTTTTACTCTATTTCGGTCTGCCAGTGTTCTTAGTTCTTTGATGCATTCCCATACCAGCGTCGACATAACTTTCTGACTCGATATGGCCTTGAGTGCCGCTTGGCTGTCTGACATTATTTGAATATGCTGATTTTCGACAGCTCTTTCATTGTTCGTTTTTGCACATTGCAAAATTGCGTATACCTCGGCCTGAAATACCGAGGAATGTATTCCTATAGCATAGCTATGGTTAGTATCAGGGTTTTTGGGGAATACTCCTGCCCCAGTGCCTTCCGCAGTCTTAGACCCGTCTGTATACCAGGTTTGTTCCTGTCGTTGGGCATTGGGCTCCCTTATGGTGATCTCCGCTCCTACTTATACCTACCGTATAATGAACTTTTTTTGTAATGCAATAATGTATGACCCTGTACGTAAACTAATAAGATTTTTTTAATAAACAACTCGCAAGTTTTTGTTGATTTTTTCCTTTTACATATTCAACCGCAATCACCCCTGTAAGTACGATTTTTTTTGTCTCTTTGAAAATAGTACAAGGGGTATATTCTTAATCTAAAAAAGTATATTAAAATATTTAATATAAGATATTTCTCTTGAAAATATATATTTTGTCAGTATATATTTATTGTTTAAAATTCATATATTTGGTACAAATTAAGTTTTATATTTGAAAAACTAGTCATAGGATCTAAATTTACCAATAAGAATTATGTGTGTATCAAATATTGAGAGACTTTGACGGTGATATTTTTTTTTTCGGAATTTAGCTATTGTTGTTCGGTGGGAATACCTACTTTGACCAAAAAAGATTTGCCGAATCATTATTCACCATGTAAGGTACAATATTTTGATTATAGTAGTTAAGTATGTATTTTGACTACACAGAATGAGCAAAAAACTTCCAAAAATATTTAAGGGTGATTTATGGTTTCCATTTTAAAGAATTAGGGATTTCTAACTTCAACACCCTGTATCTCAAAATCTAGTCATAGGATACGATTGGGTCCATGGACACTTTTGATGGGGACATCAAGTTATTTAACATATCAAAAATTCAGACATTTTGACGGTACTCCCGTTTGCATAAGAAAAGTGCGTGGTCCTTTTTTGTCCTCGGCAAAATATTTACAAAACAATATTTTGGATTCTGATGAAAAAACTATTTTATACGTCCATGAGATCACAACTGTGCATATATAATGGCTTCAAACAAGGCCTGCGTTAAACGGCGCCCCTTACTTATTTATATTTTATTTGTTTATTATTTGAGTTTAGCACACGCATACCTATTACGTCACTCTAATGCAGTGTATAAAAGCGTTTGAGCCTTAAATGCGAGTATCTACGCCTCTACGCATTTCTTCTCTTTCCTAGTCTAGTTTCAGATAAAAGAAAGTTTTCACCTTATAACAATAGTATTGAAAGATAACAACAACTATGTACATACTAATCTGTTTGCCAAATTATTTATTAAATATTTTATCGCCAACTGTCAATAAAGCCATGCATTACCCAAGCGATTTGCGGAGGTAAACAAACACTTTACTTACTGTACAAATCAAATATTTTTATTGCTGCTAATATTTATCAACATAGCCATGACGGTCTGACAGAAATAGTCTGATTTGTTTACTTTGTTATACTAAAATGTGATGTTATGATATCTTCTTTTTTATTAATTATAATTATTTACGGTTGGCGATAAAAGTTGGACACGTCAGCAAAGTGTATTTATCGAACTCGCCTGTTTCTCGTCTTACTCGCTTCTCTCTTTTGGCGCATAATCTCAGACTGGTTTAATAAAGAATCACTTTGCTGACTTGGAACATAAATAACTATAATATAACTTAAAATTACCTTGTGACATAGTATTAGGATCCTTACTAATCTCCTCAAAAGCTTTTTTATTGATCACTGTCCTATTATTACGAACCACAAGTTCAGTTTCTCCATCGATGTTTTCAATAATTTTTTCACAGGTTTCTCCTAGATATTGCTTCGCTTCCAAATCTCCAATTTCAGAAACCTTTTTGTCTGTCGAAGCGAGCTTTTTAACTATTTTATTCACTTCGGTAACTTTAACCATAAAATTGTTAAATTCTTCTTCGTTTGGAAGACCATTGAGAAGCTGGTATTTACTTGGACGTGGTCTGTCTGACATTTCCAGTTTTGAGTGAACGATTCGTTCCAGATCTAGTAATTCATAGTAAGAAAAATTGGTTTTTGTTTATGTAACTATAGTAACGGATGGAAGTTTGATAGATACCGTGATTAGGAACTGGTGCAGAATAAGTTATACAGAACAGGCATTAGGGGTTGTGCTTCCAAAATTGTAATTTCAAACAAAAAATACGTAGGCTAAAGTTAATAGTTTTTAACGACCCCACTGCGCTAAATGCGTTATGTGGCTTTACTGTAAATTATAAAATAAACACTTTCTATTTAAAGCAAATATTACTAAAAAATAATAATAATAACTAAATTAAAAAATTACCTGCTGTGTAAAACTAAAAACAGAGACAGAAAGCTATACAATTTGACTGAAAACTGTAGTTTTATTTATGATAAAAAAACGCCTACTTCTCAAAAAAAAAAAAATAGATATTTATGCAACAAGTGTGTAAAGTTACTCTTTTTTGACGAATGTGAATGTTGTTGCACGAGCCGTAAGCTGTAGGCGAGTCAAAAAAGTTACTTTACACACGAGTTGTACACAATATTAGAAATATAAAAGTTACTTTTTTTCACTAGTGCATAAAGTATCTATTCTTGCTATGTACAATTTTTGTCAAATTTTACTTTTTATCACTAGTGCGTAAAGGGTTTTACTTTACGCACTAGTGAAGAAACGTACAACTATACGCACTCCGTGGGGTAAGCAAAGTATGTACTTTACGCACGGTAGTCGAAAAAACAAATTTTATTTTTTGGGGTTTCTTTGATAAGGTTCTTATGAGATTTGCAATATCTAATTTAACGCCATTTTAGCCGTTTGTTTTTATTCTTCGTTTTAAATGTTGTTTTGGTCTTAATCTTTGTTTAATTTACCTTTTTATTTAAAATTAATATTTGACTATTATAAGTCTTTGTTGCTCCACTAAAATAAGCAACTCCTTTTTTTAAAGCATTATAATTTTTTACTAATAGAGTGTTAAACAGTGACCCTCTTTCTTGTAAAGTTTAAAAAATGGAAATGTTATGATGAGTCAAATTATTAAATAATTTTTCAGACTTAGTATATTTGTCTTGTTTATTTATTTTTTTACTTTGTAACTGACACTATACTTTTCCATTTAGGTGTATCTGTTGTCTTGATGATCAAGTAACACTACAAAACCGGTTGCTTGTTAAAAAATAACTTTGTAAGACAGAAATGACTTTTTCTACGACCTCTCTACTCAATCCCTATACACATATATGGCTACCCCTTTCCTATAATGTAAGTTTTTTTACTAGAACCTTTTTAGGCTAACTAAATACCAATATCCCCTCGTATAACAAACACAATTCTACAATAATTATTGTTTTTGTTTGTGATTCATTCGTTCTAAATTTGTTGTGAACCAAATATTTTCGGAGCAAAACACAAAAGTGAATGCACTTTTTCTGAAAAGTAAGACGATACCACACGGTCTTTTTTTTTTGTTAATTGACACTGCTTCGTTGACAATCTGTGCACGAGTTTGAAATTTGATATAATAAGGAAATTGCGGCTATCAAATAATTAATTAATGTAAATATGATATACTATGTTAATCGGTTTTTAAATGTAGACGGTGTCATCAATAAGGAGAAGGATTAACTTCTGAAGCTTAAAAATTGTTCGTCCATAGAGCCTAACTCACATAAATTTAGAAGTTCTGTACTAAGTAACATAAAAATTTCAAATAAGCACATGAAGAGCACTGACTCATTGAATTTTTGTAGAGCCAACCTTCCCTTTTTAATCGATATAAACTTTCAAAAGCTCCATAACTAGTGATTTTAAATAAAAAAGTCTATTTTTCAAACTTCGTAAAATCTGACATTGTGTTACCAATTGAAAGACCAGTAAGGTCTCCTATAGACTATAGACTCCTGAAGGTGGGTAATCAATGTAATGAAGAACTGCGACATGACGAGACGGGGTTGATGAGCGAGATTAATAATTACCTCATTCTTAGTATGCTCAAGTATGGTCACATATTCACTAGTTCCCCTACCAGCGTTGTTATGAGATGGTGTTAAAAATGTACTAGATTTCTATATAAAAATGTAATAGAAATGTAATGAACACTTAGATAAAGAATGAACACAAAAATCTACTATTTTTTACTATCTGGTTCTGCGCAAGCGCTTGTCCTATATTTGGCGAATAAACTTTACTCTTGTAATGTTGAGCAATAATTTTTTCATACATTTTTAGTTTTATTTTCCAAAGATTGAGACTGACATAAGTTGGATTTTCAAAAAAATATAGGTAATCAGTTAATTGGGAACGTTTGGTTAATTTTTGTTCTATTTTGGATTTTCTTACACAATAGTAATAGATTGACATAATTTTTCAATTGTAGTAATGACATAGCGACATAAACCAAAAAGTAATAGATCTATTACAATTCTAATGAAAAATACAACCCTATCCACGACAACCACATAAAATCAAAGTATGTGACGACAACACATAAAAAAGTCGTATAGCAGAGGCAGAAGTTGGAAAGGTTTTTGGTAATACAAAAAAACCAAGATTTCAAAAAGTTTTAATCAATAATCGGCAAAACTTTTACAGTAAAATTAATTCAAGGCTTAATATCTCGAATCTCGACAAATATTGATCTTAGCGATTTGGTTCTTAGGACATTTTTTGTAGTAAATTAAATATCCTACAATTTTGTCATTTACATTTTTTCTCTAACTCTTCTAAATTATGACATAGGGTCGAAATAACGTGAATTTCATGAAAAAATTCGATTTAGTGACCCGTACTACCTCGCCGATGTGAGTTACAACATCGCCGCAATGGATACTTTTGTAGAGCGTTCAATTTGGAGAAATACATGTCTACGGTCGAAATAATACCATGAAATGCCGCTAAGCTATAGAAATCTGAAAAAAAAAACCCTAATTTTACGTGTATTTGAAGTGGAAAATCTTTACACGCCATGGTCGAGGACTTAATATTAATATTAAGGGCTCAAACTTTCAGGGAATTTTTTTTGGGGCATTTTCAACAAAATTTCAGGGCGAGAGCGAAAATAAAAAAAAGTCAAAAAAAATCATCCTAATATATCTAAATCTAACTAACAGGCGCCGTTTAATATAGGCTTTGTTTGAAGCCAATATCTACGAACTTCTGACAGTTTTGGTCTCCATGGGAGTATCAAATAGTCGTAGCAAAAATTAACTATTAAACTATCGTATCAGGAATTAAACTAAAATGTAGGTACTTTACTATTTCGGTAAGGAAGAATTATCTAAACGGTCGCAGAGAGTGCGAGAAGACAGGGTCGTGAAAGAACTAGTTGTAGTAAATATTCGAAAAGGGAAAAAAATAAATGTATACCCGGGATAGCCTATCATTCTAGAATGAGCTGATCGTCATCACGAGCCCGCTCAGACAGGGTAATGAAGCTATTTAAGATTTCTTTAATTTGCAATTTGCACGAAAAAAAAAAAAAAATAAAGGGAAAAAAAGAAAACTAACGCGGATAGTACCTAATCCAAGAATGAGCTGATCGTCATCACGAGCCCGCTCAGACAGGGACAGGAAACTATTTAAGGTTATTTAAATTGACGGTGAAAGTTGATCTTTTTCGGCCGAATCAGAAATTTACAGAAATTTTAGAGAATTTAAAAACTTTTTGAGCTTATTCTTAAATAAAATATCTGTTATACAATTTTTTATGAAGTCCGGAAGTTTATTGTATAAAATGGGTCCTATACATTTAGGAAACTTTAAAGTTAAATGTAATCTACTAACTGGCACATGACTAGTTCCAAAATTATGAAACCTATATTTGGCTGAAATTTATTTAAGTTTTTAAAAACATATAAACAAATTTCTAGAACATATAATGAAGCTAGTGGTAAAATCCCATATTCTACAAATATTGGTAGACAAGAATCATATTTAGGAAATTTACTTATTATTCTAAGGATCTTCCTTTGAAGAATAAAACGTCACTCGAATCAGTGGAGTTTTCACATAGACTAATCCCGTATCTCAATCGGCATGCTACTTGAGCATATTAAGTACAGATTAAAACATCTCTTACATTTCTAAACAAGTAAGACAAAAGACAATATTAGTAATTCCCAGAAATTTGACGCTAGTATCTAGCCAGTTCATTCCTAAATTGCATACACAATGTCTGAGAAACCTCCTTTATACATCCAAATCACATATATTTCGTCTGCTTATCAGCAAAACACACTAAGTCAGATTTGATGAAAAATCTAAGTCACTTAATGCTATAATGAACTTAATGAATATGAAAATAATAATTTAACAATAAGGTTATAATTGAAGACACAAGTGGAGGATGAAGGGCATATGTAACATTTTTTTTAAATGGTGTTTTTCTGTGAATGAAGGGCTTATGTACATAAAATTCGTTTAAAATGTCTTCCGTGACAATATACCATCAAATATAGAAGTTGCCAGTGGATAAAGGACCCATGGTACTAGGGAATAACTGCCAAACAATAAACTTTAACACGAAATATCTCGTAAAAATTATTTTGCTACATAGGCCCTTCATCCACTTGTGTCTTTATTTGTTAGAGGACATAGTGGATTTTACCAGTTTATAGAGTGAAAGAAATCCAGTCAACTAATCTAAATAAATCAAAAATTAAAAAATTGACAGTGTGTTTTGCTTGTAAATCAACGTTTTGTCTAGGTATAATAAGAATTTTTTATATATGTTACGGTTAAAGTGTACTTGGCTAGTTTATAGAGTAGCTGGATAGTATACAAACTATCCAAATGTCCTGCTACTTTAATGGAAAATCATTTCTACTAAAATAGCTATGAATATTGGTTGGTTTGTATACTAACCAGCTAGTTTACAAACTATACAACATTTCGCCAAAGTACAAACCACAAGAAAAGTACACAAATTAACCAGTATTTTCGGCTAGTTTATAAACTATCCAGAGTATTTGGATAAAGTGTGAACTTATTATTCGTAGTAATACATAATAACCAGCTCGTCAGTTGGACTGTAAACTCACCAATCCTCTTTGGTTAATTTATTAGAAAAGTGAGTTTATAGTGAGTATGGCAAGTG